ACGATCCGGTCCAGGAAGCGCGGCTGCGCCTTCAGTTCGGCCACTGGATGTTCGTGCGGCTGCTCGGCTCCGCCTCCTCACCAGTGATTGGCCCGCCAGAACTGTAGCTCAGGAAAGGCACACAGGCGGCCAATCACCGGCGAGGGGGTGGAGCCGAGCGGCCCCCGCGAAAATCAAGTGCAGGACCAGCAGGTAAGTGGTCAGTGTAGAGGTGCTGCTGCAACCACATATGCTGGCTGCAGCAGCACCATACGAGAACAGGGTCAGCAAGTGTCAGTGGGAGGAATAGTGCCCCATCATTGGTGTCACTGATACCAATGATGGAGCACTATTCCTCCCACTGATACCAACGATGGGGCACTATTCCTCCCACTGATACCAATGATGGGGCACTATTCCTCCCACTGATACCAACGATGGGGCACTATTCCTCCCACTGACACCAACGATGGGGCACTATTCCTCCCACTGACACCAACGATGGGGCACTATTCCTCCCACTGATACCAATGATGGGGCACTATTCCTCCCCCCCACTGACACCAACGATGGGGCACTATTCCTCCCCCCCCACTGACACCAACGATGGGGCACTATTCCTCCCCCCACTGACACCAACGATGGGGCACTATTCCTCCCCCCACTGACACCAACGATGGGGCACTATTCCTCCCCCCACTGACACCAACGATGGGGCACTATTCCTCCACTGACACCAATGATGGGACACCATTCCCCCCCCCCACTGACACCAATGATGGGACACCATTCCTCCCACTGACACAATGATGGGGCACTATTCCCCCCACTGACACCAATGATGGGGCACTATTCCCCCCACTGATACCAATGATGGGGCACTATTCCTCCCACTGATACCAATGATGGGGCACTATTCCTCCCACTGACACCAATGATGGGGCACTATTCCCCCCACTGATACTAATGATGGGGCACTATTCCTCCCACTGACACCAATGATGGGACCCTATTCCTCCCACTGACACCAATGATGGGGCACTATTCCTCCCACTGACACCAATGATGGGCCCTATTCCTCCCACTGACACAATGATGGGGCACTATTCCTCCCACTGACACCAATGATGGGGCACTATTCCTCCCACTGACACCAATGATGGGGCACTATTCCTCCACTGATACCAATGATGGAGCACTATTCCTCCCACTGATACCAACGATGGGGCACTATTCCTCCCACTGATACCAATGATGGAGCACTATTCCTCCCACTGATACCAACGATGGGGCACTATTCCTCCCACTGACACCAACGATGGGGCACTATTCCTCCCACTGACACCAACGATGGGGCACTATTCCTCCCACTGATACCAATGATGGGGCACTATTCCTCCCCCCACTGACACCAACGATGGGGCACTATTCCTCCCCCCCACTGACACCAACGATGGGGCACTATTCCTCCCCCCACTGACACCAACGATGGGGCACTATTCCTCCCCCCACTGACACCAACGATGGGGCACTATTCCTCCCCCCACTGACACCAACGATGGGGCACTATTCCTCCCACTGACACCAATGATGGGACACCATTCCACCCCCCACTGACACCAATGATGGGACACCATTCCTCCCACTGACACCAATGATGGGGCACTATTCCCCCCACTGACACCAATGATGGGGCACTATTCCCCCACTGATACCAATGATGGGGCACTATTCCTCCCACTGATACCAATGATGGGGCACTATTCCTCCCACTGACACCAATGATGGGGCACTATTCCCCCCACTGATACTAATGATGGGGCACTATTCCTCCCACTGACACCAATGATGGGACCCTATTCCTCCCACTGACACCAATGATGGGGCACTATTCCTCCCACTGACACCAATGATGGGCCCTTATTCCTCCCACTGACACCAATGATGGGGCACTATTCCTCCCACTGACACCAATGATGGGGCACTATTCCTCCCACTGACACCAATGATGGGGCACTATTCCTCCACTGATACTAATGATGGGGCACTATTCCTGCCACTGACACCAATGATGGGGGCACTATTCCTCCCACTGACACCAATGATGGGGCACTATTCCTGCCACTGATACCAATGATGGGGCACTATTCCTCCCACTGACACCAATGATGGGGCACTATCCTCCCACTGACACCAATGTTGGGACACCATTCCTCCACTGACACCAATGATGGGGCACTATTCCCCCACTGATACCAATGATGGGGCACTATTCCTGCCACTGATACCAATGATGGGGCACTATTCCTCCCACTGACACAATGATGGGGCACTATTCCTCCCACTGACACCAATGATGGGGCACTATTCCTCCCACTGGGGCACCAATGATGGGGCACTATTCCTCCCACTGACACCAATGATGGGGCACTATTCCTCCACTGACACCAATGATGGGGCACTATTCCTCCCACTGACACCAATGATGGGGCACTATTCCTCCCACTGACACCAATGATGGGGCACTATTCCTCCACTGACACCAATGATGGGGCACTATTCCTCCCACTGACACCAATGATGGGGCACTATTCCTGCCACTGACACCAATGATGGGGCACTATTCCTCCCACTGACACCAATGTTGGGACACCATTCCTCCCACTGACACCAATGATGGGGCACTATTCCCCCCACTGATACCAATGATGGGGCACTATTCCCCCCACTGATACTAATGATGGGGCACTATTCCTGCCACTGATACCAATGATGGGGCACTATTCCTCCCACTGACACCAATGATGGGACACTATTCCTCCCACTGACACCAATGATGGGGCACTATTCCTCCCACTGACACCAATGATGGGGCACTATTCCTCCCACTGACACCAATGATGATGGGGCACTATTCCTCCCACTGACACCAATGATGGGGCACTATTCCTCCCACTGACACCAATGATGGGGCACTATTCCTCCCACTGACACCAATGATGGGACACTATTCCTCCCACTGACACCAATGATGGGACACTATTCCTCCCACTGACACAATGATGGGGCACTATTTCCCCCCACTGATACTAATGATGGGGCACTATTCCTGCCACTGACACCAATGATGGGGCACTATTCCCCCCACTGACACCAATGATGGGGCACTATTCCTCCCACTGACACAATGATGGGACACTATTCCTCCCACTGACACCAATGATGGGGCACTATTCCTCCCACTGACACCAATGATGGGGCACTTATTCCTCCCACTGACACCAATGATGGGCACTATTCCTCCCACTGACACCAATGATGGGACACTATTCCTCCCACTGACACCAATGATGGGGCCTATTCCTCCCACTGACACCAATGATGGGGCACTATTCCTCCCACTGACACCAATGATGGGGCACTATTCCTCCCACTGACACCAATGATGGGGCACTATTCCTCCCACTGACACCAATGATGGGGCACTATTCCTCCCACTGACACCAATGATGGGACACTATTCCTCCCACTGACACCAATGATGGGACACTATTCCTCCCACTGACACCAATGATGGGACACTATTCCTCCCACTGACACCAATGATGGGGCACTATTCCCCCCACTGATACTAATGATGGGGCACTATTCCTGCCACTGACACCAATGATGGGGCACTATTCCCCCACTGACACCAATGATGGGGCACTATTCCTCCCACTGACACCAATGATGGGACACTATTCCTCCCACTGACACCAATGATGGGGCACTATTCCTCCACTGACACCAATGATGGGGCACTATTCCTCCCACTGACACCAATGATGGGGCACTATTCCTCCCACTGACACCAATGATGGGGCACTATTCCTCCCACTGACACCAATGATGGGACACTATTCCTTCCACTGACACCAATGATGGGGCACTATTCCTCCCACTGACACCAATGATGGGGCACTATTCCTCCACTGACACCAATGATGGGACACTATTCCTCCCACTGACACCAATGATGGGACACTATTCCTCCCACTGACACCAATGATGGGGCACTATTCCTCCCACTGACACCAATGATGGGGCACTATTCCTCCCACTGACACCAATGATGGGACACTATTCCTCCCACTGACACCAATGATGGGACACTATTCCTCCCACTGACACCAATGATGGGACACTATTCCTCCCACTGACACCAATGATGGGGCACTATTCCTCCCACTGACACCAATGATGGGGCACTATTCCTCCCACTGACACCAATGATGGGGCACTATTCCTCCCACTGACACCAATGATGGGGCACTATTCCTCCCACTGACACCAATGATGGGACACTATTCCTTCCACTGACACCAATGATGGGGCACTATTCCTCCACTGACACCAATGATGGGGCACTATTCCTCCCACTGACACCAATGATGGGACACGTATTCCTCCACTGACACCAATGATGGGACACTATTCCTCCCACTGACACCAATGATGGGGGCACTATTCCTCCCACTGACACCAATGATGGGGCACTATTCCTCCCACTGACACCAATGATGGGACACTATTCCTCCCACTGACACCAATGATGGGACACTATTCCTCCCACTGACACCAATGATGGGACACTATTCCTCCCACTGACACCAATGATGGGGCACTATTCCTCCCACTGACACCAATGATGGGACACTATTCCTCCCACTGACACCAATGATGGGACACTATTCCTCCCACTGACACCAATGATGGGACACTATTCCTCCCACTGACACCAATGATGGGGCACTATTCCTCCTACTGCAAAATTACAGTTATGAAGTAGCAACGAAAATAATTTTATGGTTGGGGGTCACCACAACATGAGGAACTGTATTAAGGGGTCGCGGCGTTAGAAAGGTTGAGAACCACTGATCTATACATTATTCGGTTAAAGTATCATGTGTGGGGGGGGGGGGGGGGGGGGGGGGATAGAACATGAGATATTGGGCCTGTGTAGGACGGGGAATACTCACCCACCGGTGACCAGCACACCCGTTGGCTGCAGATCTTTGTTGAGAGTCTCCAGTAGCCAGCGGTGCAGATTCTGAGATGACTTCTTGTTGGTGAGATCATGGACCAGGAGGATACCTGCAACCACACATTTACAGATGAAATGAACTCCGCTTATATCTTCCCTTCCCCCCCTCATTAAATATTACCTTTCCATTTTCATTACATATTGTATTTTAGATCCTATGATGTCATCACTGGGACTCTGTGCTTCTCTATGCAATGCAGGCAGATCATAACTAGTGGAGTGGCCGGCAAGGGTTCTGTACATAGCTTCAAAAAAAAAAAAAAAAAAAACATCACAGGACCCCTTTCGAGAGCCCTCAGTTGTGATGCAAGCAGTGGGAGGAGTTATGCAAATACCAAAATGCTTCAATGGGCGGATGTCAGTCTGGTGAGTTTTCCTAGACAGGCTGCATTTGCATGCAGACTGACCACTAGGTAACGCCCGCCTGTTATGCCGAACCTCCATGATTAAAAGCACTGAAATCCGGTAAATGAAAGGGGTGGGTCCGGGACAGTCAGGCTGGGGAGGAAAGAGCTAGATGATGCAGGATGCCCTCCAGCCAGGAAATCGGGCGGAGCTCTGACTTGCTGCAGCTTCTAATACAGTGTTTTTCAACCTTTTTTGTGCAAAGGCACACTTTTTTCATGAAAAAAATCACGAGGCACACCATTAGAAAATGTTAAAAAAATGGACCTCTGTGCCTATATTGACTATATATAAAAGTAATTCTCTTGAATAGGAATCAAACACGTTACGGATGAAATTGGAATTTTTCCCACGGCACACCAGACAATATCTCACGGCACACCAGACAATATCTCACGGCACAGTGGTTGAAAAACGCTGTTCTAATACACACTGTGAGAAGATCACAGTGTGCGGTGAAATAGGAGGAAGCCATTTCAGTCCAGGGGAGGAGCCGCTACACCTGTGCAAGACTGACGGGGAGGAGCCGGTACACCTGTGCAAGACTGACGGGGAGGAGCCGGTACACCTGTGCAAGACTGACGGGGAGGAGCCGGTACACCTGTGCAAGACTGAAGGGGAGGCGCCGGTACACCTGTGCAAGACTGAAGGGGAGGAGCCGGGACACCTGTGCAAGACTGAAGGGGGAGGAGCCGGGACACCTGTGCAAGACTGAAGGGGAGGAGCCGGTACACCTGTGCAAGACTGAGGGGAGGAGCCGGTACACCTGTGCAAGACTGAAGGGGAGGAGCCGGTACGCCTGTGCAAGACAGAAGGGGAGGAGCCGGTACGCCTGTGCAAGACAGAAGGGGAGGAGCCGGTACGCCTGTGCAAGACTGAAGGGGAGGAGCCGCTACGCCTGTGCAAGACTGAAGGGGAGGAGCCGCTACGCCTGTGCAAGACTGAAGGGGAGGAGCCGGTAAACCTGTGCAAGACTGAAGGGGAGGAGCCGGTACACCTGTGCAAGACTGAAGGGGAGGAGCCGGTACGCCTGTGCAAGACTGAAGGGGAGGAGCCGGTACGCCTGTGCAAGACTGACGGGGAGGAGCCGGTACGCCTGTGCAAGATGACGGGGAGGAGCCGGTACGCCTGTGCAAGACTGACGGGGAGGAGCCGGTACGCCTGTGCAAGACTGACGGGGAGGAGCCGGTACGCCTGTGCAAGACTGACGGGGAGGAGCCGGTACGCCTGTGCAAGACTGAAGGGGAGGAGCCGGTACGCCTGTGCAAGACTGAAGGGGAGGAGCCGGTAAACCTGTGCAAGACTGAAGGGGAGGAGCCGGTATACCTGTGCAAGACTGAAGGGGAGGAGCCGGTACACCTGTGCAAGACTGACGAGGAGGAGCCGGTACACTGTGCAAGACTGACGGGGAGGAGCCGGTACACCTGTGCAAGACTGACGGGGAGGAGCCGGTACACCTGTGCAAGACTGAGGGGAGGAGCCGGTACACCTGTGCAAGACTGAGGGGAGGAGCCGGTACACCTGTGCAAGACTGAGGGGAGGAGCCGGTACACCTGTGCAAGACTGAGGGGAGGAGCCGGTACACCTGTGCAAGACTACGGGGAGGAGCCGGTACACCTGTGCAAGACTGACGGGGAGGAGCCGGTACACCTGTGCAAGACTGACGGGGAGGAGCCGGTACACCTGTGCAAGACTGAGGGGAGGAGCCGGTACACCTGTGCAAGACTGAAGGGGAGGAGCCGGTACACCTGTGCAAGACTGACGGGGAGGAGCCGGTACACCTGTGCAAGACTGAAGGGGAGGAGCCGGTACGCCTGTGCAAGACTGAAGGGGAGGAGCCGGTACGCCTGTGCAAGACTGAAGGGGAGGAGCCGTTAAGCCTGTGCAAGACTGAAGGGGAGGAGCCGGTATACCTGTGCAAGACTGAAGGGGAGGAGCCGGTACACCTGTGCAAGACTGACGAGGAGGAGCCGGTACACTGTGCAAGACTGACGGGGAGGAGCCGGTACACCTGTGCAAGACTGACGGGGAGGAGCCGGTACACCTGTGCAAGACTGAGGGGAGGAGCCGGTACACCTGTGCAAGACTGAGGGGAGGAGCCGGTACACCTGTGCAAGACTGAGGGGAGGAGCCGGTACACCTGTGCAAGACTGAGGGGAGGAGCCGGTACACCTGTGCAAGACTACGGGGAGGAGCCGGTACACCTGTGCAAGACTGACGGGGAGGAGCCGGTACACCTGTGCAAGACTGACGGGGAGGAGCCGGTACACCTGTGCAAGACTGACGGGGAGGAGCCGGTACACCTGTGCAAGACTGACGGGGAGGAGCCGGTACACCTGTGCAAGACTGAGGGGAGGAGCCGGTACACCTGTGCAAGACTGAAGGGGAGGAGCCGTACACCTGTGCAAGACTGACGGGGAGGAGCCGGTACACCTGTGCAAGACTGAAGGGGAGGAGCCGTACACCTGTGCAAGACTGAAGGGGTGGAGCCGTACACCTGTGCAAGACTGAGGGGAGGAGCCGCTACACCTGTGCAAGACTGAAGGGGAGGAGCCGCTACACCTGTGCAAGACTGCAGGGGAGGAGCCGGTACACCTGTGCAAGACTGAAGGGGAGGAGCCGCTACGCCTGTGCAAGACTGAAGGGGAGGAGCTGGTAAACCTGTGCAAGACTGAAGGGGAGGAGCCGGTACACCTGTGCAAGACTGAAGGGGAGGAGCCGGTACACCTGTGCAAGACTGAAGGGGAGGAGCCGGTACACCTGTGCAAGACTGACGAGGAGGAGCCGGTACACCTGTGCAAGACTGAAGGGGAGGAGCCGGTACACCTGTGCAAGACTGAAGGGGAGGAGCCGGTACACCTGTGCAAGACTGAAGGGGAGGAGCCGTACACCTGTGCAAGACTGAGGGGAGGAGCCGGTACACCTGTGCAAGACTGAGGGGAGGAGCCGCTACACCTGTGCAAGACTGAAGGGGAGGAGCCGCTACACCTGTGCAAGACTGAAGGGGAGGAGCCGCTACACCTGTGCAAGACTGAAGGGGAGGAGCCGCTACACCTGTGCAAGACTGAAGGGGAGGAGCCGCTACACCTGTGCAAAAAGACTGAAGGGGAGGAGCCGCTACACCTGTGCAAGACTGAAGGGGAGGAGCCGCTACACCTGTGCAAGACTGAAGGGGAGGAGCCGCTACACCTGTGCAAGACTGAAGGGGAGGAGCCGGTACACCTGTGCAAGACTGAAGAGCAGGCCGGTGGGGAGGGTTTAGGTGCTCACCATTGATGCCATTGTAGAAGGCGGCTCTGGCCTTCTTTACACTGCTGGCGCTGCCGACCGATCCCCAACGTCCCAAAGCTCGATGAAAAACGTCTTCTCCTCCGGGGTCCCCTCCTTGTATTCATGCAGCTGGAAAACAATCAGGAAGCAATGAGATTCAGCCTTAAAGTGGTTGTCACCCTCCATACCCCCAGTACAGTGACCGGCCTCAGGTGATACACAGAGATGAAACAAATCCTCCTACATAAGTTATACCTGATTATCTGCAGCAATCTGTCCCCTACATTCAAAGTGCAGAATTTACACAGGATCGCTCAGCTTTGAAAAGCAGGGGACGGGGAGCTGAAGTTACATCAGTGAGGAGAGCGCTGAGAGCTGATTGGAGGGAAGAGACATACCCCCCCCCCCTCACAGGAACAGTGCTGAGGCTGTCAATCGCAGGCTGTGCTCTCCCTTGTCACCATTTTTCTCTTGGTGTCAGGAAAACTCATCAGAAGAGGCTCATGCTGATAGCAGAGGAATGAGGCAGCAGACAGAAATGACACTTAGTGCTCTGGACTGAGACAAGTACTCACTATAGAGGGAAATGCTTTGTTCATATTTCAGGCCTGAGGTTTACAAGCACTTTAACCACTTCTGGACCAGCGACGTCGCTGGACTTTCAGTGGTTGTACCGGATTGATGGCTGCAGCTCTCTTGGGATCTCCCTGGCCGGACAGCCAGAATCGCCTTTGTGCCGATTCTGTGCCGCCGCTCGGCGTCAAGGCCCAGACGCCGGGAGGCCGCACATCTGCGTGCGGCTGGCGCCAAGAGGTTACGCAACACTGGGGGACCCGAAGGCCCTGGTATGGATTCTGCAGACTCATCTGCAGAATGTTCACATTCTGCAGATGAGTCACAGTTGCCGGGGATGTGGCGGCCGCCTGCTCCTTGACAACCATGACAGGTACAGGTTGCTAAGGATGCTGGCGGCAGCCAGCTGCTTGACAACCTTGTAGAACCATACACATTCGTGTAACTATCACGCGCCGGGACCGCTACTTAATTGCTACGTGTTTATTGATTTCCTTTTGGGAATTGAGCTTTATGCGACATTCAGGGAAAATGTTGGGACGCCTGAATACTGCATGAGGTCGGCATTAGTGGGCGGAGCCCATTATGCGGTACACAGAATACTGCGATCTAGTTTGGCTGGTTGTACTTTTTCGTAGTCACTTCCCATCGTGAAGAGGCGCCGCAGTCACCCGCCATCCGTCAGAACTTCACATATATCGATTCTTTACTATTTATTATTGCAGACGCAGCACAGCAGCCAAGGCAGCTCATAGGAGGAGAGAGCAGGGTGACGGAGAGGGGAGCTCATCCCTGTGCTGCTTCTTCCTTTCCACAGTCCAATCACAGGTTGGGGGCGGGTCCAGGATGAACTAAGCTTAGAGCGCGGTGGTCTCCAAACTGGCGTGCTGGGAAGGGGACAATGATGGGGCACTATTCCTCCCACTGACACCAATGATGGGGCACTATTCCACCCACTGACACCAATGATGGGGCACTATTCCTCCACTGACAACCAATGATGGGCACTATATTCCTCCACTGACACCAATGATGGGGCACTATTCTCCCATGACACCAATGATGGGGCACTATTCCTCCCACTGACACAATGATGGGGCACTATTCCTCCCAACCACTGATGGGGCACTATTCTCCCTGACACCAGAATGATGGGGCACTATTCCTCCCACTGTGGGATACCAATCGATGATGGGGAACTATTCCTCCCACTGATACCAATGATGGGGCACTATTCCTCCCACTGACACAATGATGGGACCTACTATTCCTCCCACTGACACCAATGATGGGACACTATTCCTCCCACTGACACAATGATGGGACACTATTCCTCCCACTGATACCAATGATGGGACACTATTCCTCCCACTGACACCAATGATGGGACACTATTCCTCCCACTGAACACCAATGATGGGAGCAATGTATTCAGTTCCCGACTGACAGCTATGATGTGGACACTACTTCCCCACTGACACCAATGATGGGGCACTATTCCCCCCACTGACACCAATGATGGGACACTATTCCTCCCATATGATACCAATGATGGGGGCACTATTCTCCCACTGACACCAATGAGGGGCACTATTCTTTCCACTGACACCAATGTATGGGGCACTATTCCTCCACTGATACCAATGTTGATGGGGCACTCATTCCTCCCACGTGACACCAATGATGAGGTCCGGCGTCCCCAAAGTATCTGAAGGACAGTAAATTGGCCCTGTGTTTAGATTGTTGACATCACGGAGAAACGGGGATTCACCCTGACATCCCACGGAACAGCAGACAGTCCAGGACGGGTTCCCCAGGACTTGGTTCTGGACACAGCAGATGGACGAGGAGGAGGGATTTCCCCACTCCTGGGAACACGGGAGAGCAACCGTCAGATCGTCTTGGGGTCCCTTGTAGGGACCCAGCTAACAGGATGTGCAACTAAAACCCACACGGTCCTTGTAGGGACAGATTACAGAATGAGAGTGTTCACAATCAACCTATGATGTCCTAGAGGGCCGAGAACCAATCGTATTCTGGTCCCTGTAGAACCGAGGTACAAGGGGGGCTTTTGATATTAATATGTAGCAGTCCATGCAGGGACTGTGTACAGACTGATCCAAGTACGGGGGCAATGATGTTATATTCCTGGTGTTATGGTCCCTGGAGTATGGACAGTCCCTCATTCTCTCATGTATTATGGTCCTTGTAAGGACTGGCTTTATATGAGTCCAATAATAATGTATTATGGTCCCTGTTAAGGACTGGCTTTATGAGTCCCTGATAATATTGTATTATGGTCCCCCCTAAGGACGTGGCTTTATATGTATGTATGGTCCAAGGGACTGGTAGTTTCCAATACTAATGTAATTATGGTCCCTGTAAGGGACTGGGCTATATATTTCCATCTTGATTATGATGTATTATTGGTCCTCGTTGGGAAAGACTTTAAATTGGTCCTTGATTATAAAGGTATTATAGTCCCTGTAAGAACTGATTTTATATTAGTCTCATGTGATATCAATGTATTCATGGTCCTAGCCATCATGGTCACCTATTTTACATAAGTCCCCAATAGCTATTGTGTGATGGTCCCTGTAAGGACTGGCTTTATTATTAGTCCCTGTTATTACGGGTTTAATGGTCCCAGTAGGGACTGCCTTTTTTGTCAAAGAGATAATACTGTATTATAGTCCCTGTAAGAACTGATGTTTTATGGTCCCTGTTGAGAATGACTTTAACTTTAGTCCCCTATTATATTTAAGGAGATCTCGCTTTGTATTAGTCCCGAATTAACAATGTAGTATGGTCCTCCTGTAAGGACAAATGTATATGATTTCCCAATATTAAATGCATGATGGTTCCTGTAGGGACTGACTTTATGTTAGTCCCTTGAAAATCAGTTGTATAGTCCTGCAGTGTGTGACTTCATATTACTCCCCAATAACAACGTATTATAGTCCCCATGTAAGGGACTGTGATTCTTCATATTACTTATGTTAATTATTAGACCCTCATATTCAAGTATTATGGTCCCGTGTAGGGACTGACTCTGTATTACTCCCCCGATAACAATGCGCTCTAGTCCCTCTACCATACGGCTTTAAATTAGTCCCTGATAATACAGTGAGGAACAGAAAGTATTTGACCCCCCCCCCCAACCCCTCTGCGATTCTGCAAGTCTCCCACTTTCCTCCATCACGGAGGGTCTGACATTTCACATTGCGGGGATTCCCACTCTGAGGACAGAATTCAGGAGATCACATTGCAGGGGATTCCCACTCTGAGGACAGAATTCAGGAGATCACATTGCAGGGGATTCCCACTCTGAGGACAGAATTCAGGAGATCACATTGCAGGGGATTCCCACTCTTGAGGACAGAATTCAGGAGATTCACATTTGCAGGGGATTCCCACTCTGAGGACAGAATTCAGGAGATCACATTGCAGGGGATTCCCACTGCTGAGGACAGAATTCAGGATAGATCACATTGCAGGGGATTCCCACTCTGAGGACAGAATTCAGGAGATCACATTGCAGGGATTCCCACTCTGAGGACAGAATTCAGGAGATCACATTGCAGGGGATTCCCACTCCTGACAGAATGTCAGGAATCACATTTGACAGGGGATGTACCACATCTGCGGACAGAATTCAGGAATCACCATTGCAGGGGATTCCCACTCTGAGGACAGAATTCAGGCGAGTAGCACATATTGCAGGGGATTCCACTCTGAGGACAGAATTCCAGAGAGATACATTGCGGGGATTCCCCACTCTGAGGACAGAATTTCAGGAGATCACATTGCAGGGGATTCCACTCTGAGGACAGAATTCTGGAGATCACACCTGCAGGGGGATTCCCACTCCTGAGGACAGAATTTTAGGAGATCACACTGCAGGGGATCCCACTCTGAGGACAGAATTCAGGAATCACATTGCAGGGGATTCCCACTCTGAGGACAGAATTCAGGAGATCACATTGCAGGGGATTCCCACTCTGAGGACAGAATTCAGGAGATCACATTGCAGGGGATTCCCACTCTGAGGACAGAATTCAGGAGATCACATTGCAGGGGATTCCCACTCTGAGGACAGAATTCAGGAGATCACATTGCAGGGGATTCCCACTCTGAGGACAGAATTAAGGAGATCACATTGCAGGGGAATTCCCCACTCTGAGGACAGAATTCAGGAGATCCATTGCAGGGGGATTTCCCACTGAGGACAGAATTCAGGAGATCACATTGCAGGGGATTCCCCACTCTGAGGACAGAATTCAGGAGATACATTTGCAGGGGATTCCCACTCTGAGGACAGAATTCAGGAGATCACATTGCAGGGGATTCCTCATCTGAGGACAGAATTCAGGAGATCACATTGCAGGGGATTCCCACTCTGAGGACAGAATTCAGGAGATCACATTGCAGGGATTCCCACTCTGAGGACAGAATTCAGGGAAGATCACATTGCAGGGGTATTCCCACTCTGAGGACAGAATTCAGGAGAATCACATTGCAGGGGATTCCCACTCTGAGGACAGAATTCAGGAGATCACATTGCAGGGGATTCCCACTCTGAGGACAGAATTAAGGAGATCACATTGCAGGGATTCCCACTCATGAGGACAGAATTCAGGAGATCACATTGCAGGGGGATTCCCACTCTGAGGACAGAATTCAGGAGATCACATTGCAGGGGATTCCCACCTCTGAGGACAGAATTTCAGGAGATCAACATTGCAGGGATTCCCACTCTGAGGACAGAATTCAGGAGATCACATTGCAGGGGATTCCCACTCTGAGGACAGAATTCAGGAGATCACACTGCAGGGGATTCCCACTCTGGAGGACAGAATTCAGGAATCACATTTGCATGATTTGTAAAGAATGTATTTGTCTCGCACGGCTGAACAGAAGTATTTGAAAACCCCTGAGAAACAACAAGAATTCTGGCTCCCAAAGACTGTTACTGCGCCTTTACAAAGTCCACCTCTACTCCCTCATTCATCTCACTTAGTAGCACTGTCTGAGCTCTATAAAGACACCTGTCCACCCCACAGTCAGTCAGACGCCAACTACTACCATGGGCAAGACCAAAGAGCTGTCAAAAGACACCAGAGACAAAATTGTGGGGGGGGGCACCTCCACAAGGTGGGAAAGGGCTAAACGGGGCAATTGCCAAGCAGCTTGGTGAAAATAGATCAACTGTTGGAGCAATTGTTAGAAATGGAAGAGGCTAAAGACGACTGTCAGTCTCCCTCGGACTGGGGCTCCATGCAAGATGTCCCCTCGTGGGGTATCACTGATGAGAAGAAAGGTGAGGAATCAGCCCAGAACTACAAGGGAGGAGCTGGTCAATGACATGGAGAGAGCTGGGACCACAGTTTCACAGGTCACTGTCGGTAGAACACTACGTCGTCATGGTTTCCAATCATGCGCATTGCATGGAAGGTTCCCCTGCTCCAGTCATCACATGTCCAGGCCAATCGTCTGAAGGTTCCCCCTGTCTGAAGGTTGAAGGTTTCCCCCCCGCTCCAGTCATCACATGTCCAGGCCCGGTTCCCCGCTCCTAGTCATCACAGTCCAGGTCCGTCTGAAGGTTCCCCCGCTCCAGTCATCACATGTCCAGGCCCGTCTGAAGGTTTCCCACCGCGTCCAGTCATCACATGTCCAGGTCGTCTGAAGGTTCCCCCGCTCCAGTCATCACATGTCCAGGTCCGTCTGAAGGTTCCCCCGCTCCAGTCATCACTACATGTCCAGGTCCGTCTGAAGGTTCCCCGCTCCAGTCATCACATGTCCAGGCCCGTCTGAAGGATCAAGTCATCACCTGAAGGTTCTCCCGCTCATCATCATGTCCAGGCCCGTCTGAAGGTTCCCCCGCTCCAGTCATCACATGTCCAGGCCCGTCTGAAGGTTCCCCGCTCCAGTCATCACATGTCCAGGCCCGTCCCCCGCTCCAGTCATCACATGTCCAAGGCCCGTCTGAAGGTTCCCCTGCTCCAGTCATCACATGTCCAGGCCCGTCTGAAGGTTCCCCTGCTCCAGTCATCACATGTCCAGGCCCGTCTGAAGGTTCCCCCGCTCCAGTCATCACATGTCCAGGCCCGTCTGAAGGTTCCCCTGCTCCAGTCATCACATGTCCAGGCCCTCTGAAGGTTCCCCTGCTCCAGTCATCACATGTCCAGGCCCGTCTGAAGGTTCCCCTGCTCCAGTCATCACATGTCCAGGCCCGTCTGAAGGTTCCCCTGATCAAGTCATCACATGTCCAGGCCCGTCTGAAGGTTCCCCTGCTCCAGCATCACATGTCCAGGCCCCTCTGAAGGTTCCCCTGATCAAGGTCATCACATGTCCAGGCCCGTCTGAAGGTTCCCCTGCTCCAGTCATCACATGTCCAGGCCGTCTGAAGGTTCCCCTGCTCCAGTCATCACATGTCCAGGCCCCTCTGAAGGTTCCCCTGATCAAGTCATCACATGTCCAGGCCCGTCTGAAGGTTCCCCTGCTCCAGTCATCACATGTCCAGGCCCGTCTGAAGGTTCCCCCGCTCCAGTCATCACATGTCCAGGCCCCTCTGAAGGTTCCCCTGCTCAAGTCATCACATGTCCAGGCCCCTCTGAAGGTTCCCCCGCTCCAGTCATCACATGTCCAGGCCCGTCTGAAGGTTCCCCTGCTCCAGTCATCACATGTCCAGGCCCGTCTGAAGGTTGCCAATGACCATCTGGATGATGCAGAGGAGGCATGGGAGAAAGTCATGTGGTCAGAGGAGACCAAAGTAGAACTTTTTGGTCTAAACTTCACTCGTCGTGTTTGGAGGAAAAAGAAGGAGGAGTTGCATCCCAAGAACACCATCCCTACTGTGAAGCATGGGGGTGGTAACATCATGCTTTGGGGGTGTTTTTTCTGCGAAGGGGACAGGATGTCTGCACTGTATTAAGGAGAGGATGAATGGGGCCAATTATTGTGAGATTTTGAGCAACTACCTCCTTCCCTCAGTCAGAGCATTGAAGATGGGTCGTGGCTGGGTCTTCCAACATGACAACGACCCGAAGCACACAGCCAGGAGAACCAAGGAGTGGGCTCCGTAAGAAGAAGCTATCAAGGTTCTGGAGGGGCTAGCCAGTCTCCACACCTAAATCCAATAGAACATCTTTGGAGGGAGCTGAAACTCCGTGTTGCCCAGCGACAGCCCCGAAACCTGACAGATCTAGAGGAGATCGGTGTGGAGGAGTCGGCCAAAATCCCTGTTGCAGTGCAAACCTGGCCAAGGACTACAGGAAACGTCTGACCTCTGTAATTGCAGACAAAGGCTTCTGTACCAAATATTAACACGGATCTTCTCAGGGGTTCAAATACTTCTGTTCAGCCGTGCGAGACAAATACATTCTTTACAAATCATACAATGTGATCTCCTGAATTCTGTCCTCAGAGTGGGAATCCCCTGCAATGTGAATGTCAGACCCTCCATGATGGAGAAGTGGGAGAACTTGCAGAATCGCAGGGGGTTCAAATACTTCTGTTCCTCACTGTATATGATGGTCCCTGTAAGGCAGTGTTTCTCAACTCCAGTCCTCATGGACCCCCAACAGGTCATGTTTTCAGGATTTCCCTCAGATGAAACAGCTGTGGTAATTACTAAGGCAGTGAAACTGATCAAACCACCTGTGCAAAATAATGGAAATCCTGAAAACATGACCTGTTGGGGGTCCATGAGGACTGGAGTTGAGAAACACTGCTGTAGGGACTGGCTCCCTGTATTAGTCCCTGGCTTTCTGATAATATATATGATGGTCCCTGTAGGGACTGGCTCTGTATTAGTCCCTGATAATATATGATGGTCCCTGTAGGGACTGGCGATGTATTAGTCCCTGATAATATATGATGGTCCCTGTAGTGACTGGCGATGTATTAAAGTAGTCCCTGATAATAATATGATGGTCCCTGTAGTGACTGGCGATGTATTAGTCCCTGATAATATATGATGGTCCCTGTAGGGACTGGCGATGTATTAGTCCCTGATAATATATGATGGTCCCTGTAGTGACTGGCTCTGTATTAGTCCCTGATAATATATGATGGTCCCTGTAGTGACTGGCGATGTATTAGTCCCTGATAATATATGATGGTCCCTGTAGGGACTGGCTGTATTAGTCCCTGATAATATATGATGGTCCCTGTAGGACTGGCGATGTATTAGTCTCCAATAAGTGTGATGGTCCCTGTAGGGACTGGCTCTGTTTAGTCCCTGATAATATATGATGGTCCTTGTAGGGACTGGCTGTGTATTAGTCCCTGATAAAGGAGTACGATGGTCCCTGCTGTCCCCTCCCCCCGGGTTCCCCTCACCTGAGTCCCCCAGCACCAGAACCTTCACCCTATCCAGAGCCGCCATGTTGCGCGGCCGCCCCTCCCCCCGGATCTCTTCTGTTGCTATGACAACCGCAGCCGATTGGCCAACTATACTCTGCTCCAAAAATGGACTGGACGTGAACCGGAAGTACACCAGACTGCGTTCCACGATGGCACGCTACCAGTCTGAGCCTCTGGCGGTAATTTTCGATGCCGTCGGCGGTATCCCGGGAGGTATCGGTGTCCGCTTCACAGGAGGGAGTCACACCGATATCTGCATGGCCAGAAATGACTTCAGAGTACCAGGGACTGGCTGCTTGCCCTCTTCCAATATGGCGCCTGGTAGAGTGACATCACTGGTGTGCGCCGGGTAGTCCTGCATAGCGGTGTGTTCAGAGGAAGAGAAGCGGTGTAAGTACCGGCCGGGGGGGGATTTATCACTGCTCGGGGCCCCAAAATTACCTCCACATGACTCATCACGATAGTAACAGGTGTCAATGAGCCGTGATATGGCCGCCCCCCCATTTGACACCATATCCTGGTGTCAGATCTGAGCTGTTCACCTTCCCCTTAGAAACTGCTGCTCTCTGCTCCCTCCGGAGGGATTACAGAACTAAAGAGAGGGTTATAGATACAGCAGATTGTATATGATGGAGGCTCCACCGACAGAACATGGCCTTCCCCTCCCCCACAAGTACCCGGCTCCCCTACATGTGCCTGCTTTCCCCTCCCCCACAAGTACCCTCCTCCCCTACATGTGCCTGCCTTCCCCTCCCCCACAAGTACCCGGCTCCCCTATGTGCCTGCCTTCCCCTCCCCCACAAGTACCCGCTGCCTTCCCCTACATGTGCCTGCCTTCCCCTCCCCCACAAGTACCCGCCTCCCCTACATGTGCCTGCCTTCCCCCCCCCACAAGTACCCGCCTCCCCTACATGTGCCTGCCTTCCCCTCCCCCACAAGTACCCGCCTCCCCTACATGTGCCTGCCTTCCCCTCCCCCACAAGTACCCGCCTCCCCTACATTTGCCAGCCTTCCCCCCCCCCCACTGGTACCCCCCTCTCCCAGAGCTACCCGCCTTTTCCTCCCCTGCAGATACCCACCCCTCCCCCACAGGTACTCGCCTTCCCTCCCCCACTGGTACCCCCTCTCCCCAGAGCTACCTGCCTTTTCCCTCCTCTTCCACACAGGGACCTGCCTTTCCCTTCCCCTCCCCCACAGGTACCCCGCCTTTCCCTTCCCCTCCCCCACTGGTACCCGCCTTCCCCTCCCCTTCCACACATGTGCCTGCCTTTCCCTCCCCCACAAGTAGCTACCTTTTCGTTCCCTCCCCCACAGGTACCCATCTTCCCCTCCCCCCCCCGCCACCCCATCACATCAACACCCCCAAAACCTTCCAAAAAAAGAAATCTCTTGCCGTGGATAATCCCACAGTGACCAGCTGCAGGCTCTGCCATGGCGACTCTCTGCCTCCCACTGCGGGGAATGGCTGTGACTTGATTTGCAGCGCAGATTTCTGTTAAGGAGCTCTGAGCCAATCATTGGAGGAGGAGGCGGCGGCTATGTTTGTATTTGGACATTGCATCACCTTAATGATGTACAGAGGAACACGGGGAGCACTTGGAGATATGGGGGAGCACGGGCTGCTGGCGGAATGAGGTGCACTTGGAGACCTGGGGGAGCACAGGGTGTGCCGGAGGAATGGGGTGCACTTAGAGACAGGGGGTGCTGGAGGATTGGGGAGCACTTGGAGATATGGGGAGCACAGGGGGTGCCAGAGGAATAGGGAGCACTTGCAGATATGGGGAGCACAGGGGGTGCTGGAGGAATGGGGTGCACTTGGAGATATGGGGAGCACAGGGGGTGCCGGAGGAATGGGGTGCACTTGGAGATATGGGGGAGCACAGGGGGTGCACTTGCCGATATGAGGGGGGGGTTCTGGAGGAATGGGGAGCACATGGAGCTCCCCATATATATGTGGGAGCACGGGGTTCTCAAGGCATGTGGAGCACTTGGAGATATGGGGGAGCACAGGGGGTGCTGGAGGCACTTGGAGATATGGGGGAGCACAGAGACATGCTGGAGGAATGGGGTGCACTTGCAGATATGGGGGGGTTCTGGAGGAATGGGGAGCGCATGGAGATATGAGGGAGCACAGGGGGTTCTCAAGGCATGGGGAGCACTTGGAGATATGGGGGAGCACGGGGTGCTGGAGGCCCTTGGAGATATGGGGGAGCACAGGCGATGCTGGAGGAATGGGGTGCACTTGCAGATATGGGGGGGTTCTGGAGGAATGGGGAGCGCATGGAGATATGAGGGAGCACAGGGGGTTCTCAAGGCATGGGGAGCACTTGGAGATATGGGGGAGCACGGGGTGCTGGAGGCACTTGGAGATATGGGGGAGCACAGGCGATGCTGGAGGAATGGGGAGCACTTGGAGACATTGGGGCGTAGGGTGGGAGTTGAGGGCACGGATCCCATTTCCATGGTTCTCTTCTCTCTCTGCTCGTATTACAGAAGACATGACGGACGCCGAGGTTGTGACGGAAGTTCCGGCCGTTCTGAAGCGCCTGGCTAAGTATGTGGTGCGCGGCTTCTATGGGCTGGAGCATGCGTTGGCCCTGGACATCCTCATCCGGAACCCCTGCGTGAAGGAGGAGGACATGCTGGAGCTCCTGAAGTTTGACCGCAAACAGCTCCGCTCCGTCATCAACACCCTGAAGATGGACAAGTTCATCAAATGCCGGATGAGGGTGGAGACCGCCTCTGACGGCAAGACCACGCGGCACAACTATTACTTCATTAACTACAAACTGCTGGTCAACGTGGTGAAGTACAAGCTGGACCACATGAGGAGGAGGATCGAGACGGACGAGAGGGACTCCACCAACCGGGCGTCCTTCAAGTGCCCCAACTGCTCCAGCACATTCACCGACCTGGAGGCCAATCAACTGTTCGAGGCAACATCAGGTACGACACATTGTCTGTGGATCAGACTGTACATTGTAACTTTGTAGGAGGAGCCCAGAGATCAGACTGTACATTGTAACTTTGTAGGAGGAGCCCAGAGATCAGACTGTACATTGTAACTTTGTAGGAGGAGCCCAGAGATCAGACTGTACATTGTAACTTTGTAGAGGGGAGCCTGGAGAAGTTGGCATCAGGACAGCTGAATCATTACTTCCTGTAATTCTCCTTTCCTGGTGCCAATCCGTGCTAAGTATGTGAAGTGAATAAAGCTCACGTGGGGGCCATCTTAGGTTTGGGCAAGCACTGCCCCAGTAGCCGCCTTGGATCTGCGCAAAACTGCCTGGGAGGCAGACCACATGTACAGTGAAGGAAATGTGTATTTGCTCCCCTGCTGATGCTGAATGTTCGCCCCTCACACAGAAACGATCGGTCTAACAATGGAATGTTCGCCCCTCACACAGAAACGATCGGTCTAACAATGGAATGTTCGGTGTAACACTGAGAGACAGAATACAACAACAAATTCAGCAGAAATGCGTCTAACAAATGATGACTGATCTGCATGTTCATGAGGGAAAGAAGGATTTGATCCCCTTCACAAAACATGACTTAGTACTTGGTGGCAAATCCCTTGTTGGCAATCACAGAGGTCAGACGTTTCCTGGAGTTGGCCCCAGGTTCGCACACATCTCAGGAGGGATTTTGGCCCACTCCTCTTGGCAGATCCCCTCCAAGTCATTAAGGTTTGGTGGCTAACGTTTGGCAACTCGAACTTTCAGCTCCTCCACAGATTTTCTATTGGATGAAGGTCTGGAGACTGGCTAGGCCACTCCAGGACCTAAATGTGCTTCTTCTTGAGCCGCTCCTTTGTTGCCTTGGCCGTGTGTTTTGGGTCATTGTCATGCTGGAACACCCATCCATGACCCATTTTCAATGCCCTGGCTGAGGGAAGAAGGTTCTCACCCAAGATTTGAGGGTACACTGCCCCGTCCATCGTCCCTTTGATGCGGTGCAGTTGTCCTGTCCCCTTAGCAGAAAAACACCCCCAAAGCAGAATGTTTCCACCACCATGTTTCACAGTTGGGATAGTGTTCTTGGGGTCATAGGCAGCATTCCTCCTCCTCCAAACACGGCGAGTTGAGTTGATGCCAAAGAGCTGGATTTTGGTCTCCTCTGACCACAACACTTCCCACCAGTCCTCCTCTGCATCATTCAGATGTTCAGTGGCAGACTTCAGACGGGCCTGGACATGTGCTTTCTTGAGCAGAGGGACCGTGCGGGCACTGCAGGATTTCAGTCCTTGTCGGCGTAGTGTGTTACCAATTGTTTTCTTGGTGACTGCGGTCCCAGCTGCCTGGAGATCATTGACAAGATCCTCACGTGTAGTTCTGGGATGATTCCTCACTGTTCTCATGATCATTGACACTCCACGAGGTGAGATCTTGCATGGTGCACCAGACCTAGGGAGACTGACACTTGTTTTGTGTTTCTTCCATTTGTGAATGATTGCACCAACTGTTGTCACCTTCTCACCAAGCTGCTTGGCCATAGTTTGGTAGCCCAGTCCAGCCTTGTGTAGGTCTACCATCTTGTCCCTGACATCCTTGGACAGCTCTTTGGTCTTTGCCATGGTGGAGAGTTTGGAATCTGATGGTTTGATGGCTCCTGTGGACAGGTGTCTTTTATACAGGTAACACAATGAGATTAGCAGCACTCCCTTTAAGAGACTGCTTCTAATCTCAGCTTGTTACCTGTATGAGAGACACCTGGGAGCCAGAAATCCTGCTGAATGATAGGGGATCAAATCCTTCTTTCCCTCATGAACATGCAGATCCGTCATCATTTGTTAGACGCATTTCTGCTGAATTTGTTGTTGTATTCTGTCTCTCAGTGTTACACCGAACATTCCATTGTTAGACCGATCATTTCTGTTGAGGGGCAAACATTCCATTGTTAGACCGATCATTTCTGTGTGAGGGGCGAACATTCCATTGTTAGACCGATCATTTCTGTGTGAGGGGCAAACATTCCATTGTTAGACTGATCATTTCTGTGTGAGGGGAGAACATTCCATTGTTAGACCGATCATTTCTGTGTGAGGGGCGAACATTCCATTGTTAGAGCGATCATTTCTGTGTGAGGGGCAAACATTCCATTGTTAGACCGATCATTTCTGTGTGAGGGGCGAACATTCCATTGTTAGACCGATCATTTCTGTGTGAGGGGCAAACATTCCATTGTTAGACTGATCATTTCTGTGTGAGGGGCGAACATTCAGCATCAGGGGGGAGCAAATACGCATTTCCTTCAATGTGTGCTGCCATGTTGGCACCAGGAAATAAAGTGAAAAGTTTAAAAAATATAAAGTGACAACAATGAATAAAAAGTTTTAATTAAAGCCCCCCCTACCCCCACCCCACCCCAATGTACATGCAGATAGAAACATAAATGCAAGTGTCTGGAGCGCCTATGTATGAAAACTACAATTGCACCAAACATAGTTGCTTCTACAAACGTTACCCGTGAACCCGCCTAGGCACCAGCCATTGGACTACACCACCATGTCATCAGCAGTCCAGATCACACGGTCTCTGGCTTCTGTCAGCATTGTGGCTTCTCACATCATTAGGTACTGCAATACTGGCATAGAAACAACGCCTAGTTAAAGCAGAGTTCCACCCAAAAGAGGAAGCGCCGCTTATCTGCCCCCCCCCCCCGCCATATTTGACACCGTTTGGAGGGGAGTAGGTACCTGGTTTTGACAGGTATCCACTTCTGGCTGAGTTAAAAAAAAACTGAGCTGGTAGTCCCGTCCCCCCCCCTTCCACTCACAGGTCCCAGAGGACTGCGGCCCATTTGCAAAGCACAGCGCAATTCACACACGCGCAGTAAGAAACTGGCTGTGAAACAGCAAAGCTTCACTGCCAGTTTCCCTTAATCAAGATGGCGGCGCCAGCACCCGACAGATGATTAAAGAATCAGCTCGGGGTGAGGACACCAATGGATCCCTGGACAGGTAAGTGCCCTATCATTAAAAGTCAGCGGCTGCAATATTTGTGTGTATATTATTTTTTTTTTTTATGTAAAGTAATATACATATATATATATGTGTGTGTGTGTATATAGCTTAATTTTTTTTTGTCACTATATATATATATATATATATATATATATATATATATATATATATATATATATATATATATATATACGGTGGGGATGGAAAGTTTGGGCACCTCAGCTAAAAATTTGTATTAATGTGCATAAAGAAGCCAAGGAAAGATGGAAAAATCTCCAAAAGGCATCAAATTACAGATTAGACATTCTTATAATATGCCAACAAAAGTTAGATTTTATTTCCATCATTTACACTTTCAAAATAACAGAAAACAAAAAAATGGCGTCTGCAAAAGTTTGGGCCCCCTGCAGAATTTATAGCATGCACTGCCCCCTTTGCCAAGCTGAGACCTGCCAGTGTCATGGATTGTTGTCAATCATTGTCTGGGAAGACCAGGTGATGTCAATCTCAAAGGTTTTAAATGCCCAGACTCATCTGACCTTGCCCCAACAATCAGCACCGTGGGTTCTTCTAAGCAGTTGTCTAGAAAACTGAAACTGAAAATAGTTGACGCTCACAAAGCTGGAGAAGGCTATAAGAAGATAGCAAAGCGTTTTCAGATGTCAATATCCTCTATTCGGAATGTAATTAAGAAATGGCAGTCATCAGGAACAGTGGAAGTTAAAGCAAGATCTGGAAGACCAAGAAAAATATCAGACAGAACAGCTCGCAGGATTGTGAGAAAACAATTCAAAACCCACGTTTGCCAGATCTTTCTGGAGGGATCGTGCAGTCAGACACTGGAGTTGTGGTACACTATTCCACTATAAAGAGATACTTGTACAAATATGGTCTTCATGGAAGAGTCATCAGAAGAAAACCTCTTCTACGTCCTCACCACAAAAATCATCGTTTGAACTTTCCAAATGAACATCTAGACAAGCCTGATGCATTTTGGAAACAAGTTCTGTGGAAGATGAGGTTAAAATTGTACTTTTTGGCCGGAATGAGCAAAGGTACGTTTGGAGAAGAAGGGGCACAGAATTTAATGAAAAGAACCTCTGTCCAACTGTTAAGCATGGGGTTGGATCAATCATGATTTGGGGTTGTGTTGCAGCCAGTGGCACAGGGAACATCTCACGAGTAGAAGGAAAAATGGATTCAATAAAATTTCAGCAAATTTTGGATGGTAACTTGATGCCATCTGTGAAAAAGCTGAAGTTAAAGAGAGGATGGCTCCTACAAATGGATAATGGTCCTAAACACACCTCGAAATCCACGGGGGATTACATCAAGAGGTGTAAACTGAAGGTTTTGCCATGGCCTTCACAATCTCCTGACCTCAACATCATTAAAAATCTATGGATAGACCTTAAAAGAGCAGTGCGTGACAGACAGCCCAGAAATCTCAAAGAACTGGAAGACTTTTGTAAGGAAGAATGGGCAAAGATACCTCAAACAAGAATTGAAAGACTCTTGGCTGGCTACAAAAAGCGTTTACAAGCTGTGATACTTGCCAAAGGGGGCAGTACAAGATATTAACTCTGCAGGGGGCCCAAACTTTTGCAGACGCCATTTTTTTTGTTTTCTGTTATTTTGAAAGTGTAAATGATGGAAATAAAATCTAACTTTTGTTGACATATTATAAGAATGTCTAATCTGTAATTTGATGCCTTTTGGAGATTTTTCCATCTTTCCTTGGCTTCTTTATGCACATTAATACAATTTTGTAGCTGGGGTGCCCAAACTTTCCATCCCCACTGTGTGTGTGTATATGTGTATTGTGTGTGTATAATTGAATCCTCTCTCTCTCTCTCTCTCTCTCTATATATATTGGTATAATATATATATGTGTGTGTGTGTGCGCGTGTATATAGCTTAATTTTTTTTGTCATAAAAATATATATATAACACCAATGATATAGAGAGAGAGAGAGGATTA